GGGGGTTTGGTTCCCGAGGGGGGGGGGGGGAGGGGAGCGCTGACTCACCCGCCGCGTCACTGCTGGTGGGGGGGGGTTCTCCTTAGCGCAACATGTCACAATATAAAAAAAAATGTATTGGAGGCCTGTGATGTAGATGAAGTAATATTAATGTTAATTATTTAGTCGGTGCCTCATCTTACAAAGTATTTTCCATTCTGTAGGGAATGTAAACAACAACTTGTATCCAATTTTACTAGTACTGCTGTTCAGTGGTGTATATATGTTAACCATGTATTTGCCTGATGATGGCTATTAATAGCCGAAACATGTAGCACCGATCTTGATATTAGTTGTGTTGTGATGGTTGTAATAAAGAAGTTGTATATTATAACACAACAGGATGCATGAAATGAAAATTATCATAGTCATTCCAGAATATTACAAAGTGCTTTGATGATGGTCAACAACATATAGAAATGTTGGATATGAAGTTCTCACAGAAGTGATGAAGAGCACTATCTCCTGGGACGTGAGCCTGCAGTAATCTGGTAGAAGTTTATCATGTTTCACAGAAATATGATGCTTCAATTTCTGAGCTGAAGAGTAAGCCAAGCAACCGGTAAGATATAGGCAGCAAACAGAGCAGAGAAAGATGAAATATATGCTATTCAGACAGCTTGTTGCATCTCTGAACCTGAAGATGCAGGCAGTATATTCCTTCAAAATGTTGGTGAACTTCTAGTGCATCACACAGCATCATACCCCAGAAGATAATAGTCTTCATATAAGAGACTGTTATCAGTTTGCATAAAATCACTGAAAAAGTTTTGCTATTTCAAATGTAACATTCAATAAAACATATGAAACATAATGCTTTGCTTTGATAAGATATATTGAAAAATGTAAAAATATTTAGTTCTTTGTCTTTCATTGGTAAAAGATAAAGCTATTCCTGTGACAGGCTGTGGAGGCCCATAGGGTTGTGAGATGCCAATGCTCCCACATTATTTAGACAATCAGCTCACAGATGGCAGTGAGGTTGTCAACCTTATGTGCTGGCTGGCCAGCCTTTAACCTCAGGAAGATTTCTGGTACTCATTTCTGTTAGAGGCTGAGTCGACACCAGGGCCATAGTGCAGCTGGAAGTATTCTTCTAGTATCAATTCAGTTTTACATGGATCAACAGATGAAAGTTCTCCAATAATTTATCTTTTCAGTTTCATTCCAGCTCTTTCATCTCTTGTTGATGTCTTCCAATACCTGGCTGACCATCTTATTCTATGCTGCCCCTTAGGTCTCTTTTCTTAAAATTTTAACTGTAATTGTACTTCTTGGTATTATTGTTCCTTTAATATAGCACATATGAACATTAAACTATTAAATAACAGTCCTCAACTTTTACCTGATATCCTTTGTATTTGATGAGTTCCTTCACCCTGTCAACTATATAAAAGAAACCATCTTCATCATAGTAACCCACATCTCCAGTGAGAAGGAAACCATCAGAGTCAAAGCACGCTGCTGTAGCTTGTGGATTACCACAGTAGCCTTTCATGATACCAGGACCTCTGAAACAGACTTCTCCTGCTTCCCCTGGTCCAAGAATTTGGCCAGTATTCATGTTGACTACCTGATTAATAACAAGAGTATGGTCATCTGCAGAATATTAGACAAATCTAACTCTTTATTTTTTACATTTTTAATGAACACCCTGAGCATAATATATAAACCAAATGGTTTAATCTTTAATCTTTATCATCCAAGAACAAAGAATTTTAAACCATCCCAGTACTGATTTTAACTACAGGGTAGTTAGTTATTTAGAGAGGGTGGGTTTCCCCATGCACCGCGACCAGTTTGATCTATTGTGCTTCCCTCTATGATACTCTACCAGTCTCTTTACCCTACCAGTAAATGGTGCGTACCATCAGTCCCGCCAAGTAAGCGAGTTCGGCCACTTGCTTAGTGGTGTCTATAATGCTTCCCCCATCTATCAGAGGCCTTAGAGGCTATTGTTGGGCGGGAAACGTCCTGGAATTTGGCTCAGTGATCCCCTTTGGGGATATGAGGGTAACAGAATTAATATCAAAAGAGTGCAACCCTCAGCCAGCTGACCAAGCATACACAACACTGAAATAGCAGAAAATATGACCTGTAAATATTAACATTCTTTCAGTTGAGGTTATGTTTGTCTACAATAAAGTGCTAATGGTACATCTCTGACTAGGGCCACATATTCTTAATAGCAGCTGCTATTCCTTCCATCAACAAGGATGTAAATACATGCTATACAAGTAAAAAGGTAAAAGAGGTAAAGCTATCCCTGTAACAGACCATAGCATTGTGAGATGTCGAGGCTCCCACATTTTCTAAACAATCAGCTCACAGATAGTGGTTAGGTTGTCAGCCTTACACACTGGCAGCCCTTTACCCCCCAGAAAGATCNAACAAGGATGTAAATACATGCTATACAAGTAAAAAGGTAAAAGAGGTAAAGCTATCCCTGTAACAGACCGTGGAGGCCCATAGCATTGTGAGATGTCGAGGCTCCCACATTTTCTCCAGCTTGTAGCATAGTGCCTCAACCAACTATGCTACTGCAGTTCCAAACAATATGCCTACATGACCATGCTGTCCCTGCACTTCATCAAGTGAAGACTTGCAATATAACTGCAGGATCAGAGTCTTTACCAAATATTATTATGATGTTCACATCAAGCCAGATGAGATAGGTGAAGCATACAGCATGCATGGGAGCTATTAAAAATGCACACAAAATTTGGTCAGAAATTTTGAAAAGAACAAACTAAAACACCTACGCATGTAATATGGGAGAATAAAATTAAATTGAATATAAGAGAAACAGGATGAGAGAATGTGGACTGGCTTCATCTGGTTCAAAATACAGTCCAGTGGTGGAATCTTGTCAATAAAATAATGAATCTTCAGGCTCCATACAAAGGAAGAAAATTTTCTGAGTAACTGAGTCAATATTAACCTCTCAAAGAGGATTTTGGATCATGGAGTTAATTAATTTGTTTGTTAGTTTCTTTTACCAAAGAGATTGAATAGTGTTTACTTTGCAATACACATGCACTCTATCAGCCACTGTTGAAACTGGCTTACCTTGCCCTCAGTCTGTGGCACCAATATCCCAGAAGAACCCATTTCCTTCTTATTATTTGGTGATATTGTAAGTGCCATAGTGGCTTCTGTTAAACCATAACCTTGACGGATTTGATATAATCCAAGTCTTTCAGCAGCTAGGGATTCAACTTCCTGCTTCAGTGGTGCAGCTCCACACAAAATATCACGCACACTTGACAAATCATATCTGGACACGACATCAGCTTTAGCCAAGAACACAATAATGAGTGGCACCAGATATAACAATGTAACCTAAAAAAAAGTTTCCCTTTAAGGAATATAAAAATTCAATTCTATTATTACTTACTTACTTACTTACTTGGGCCATGCCATAGTTTCTGGCTTCCCACCGAGGCAGCCCAGGTTCCATCCTGGGTATGGTCAAGTGGGATTTGTAGTGGACAAAGTGACACTGGGGCGGGGTTTTCTCCAAGTACTTCGGTTTCCCCTGCCAATCTTAATTCCACCAAATTCTCCATCATCATAATCACCCAGGACAGGCTACAATAGGCCAATCAGTGGCCGCCACGCCGAGTGGACCCAGTTGGACTCCACCCCCCACAAAGCGAGTTTAAAAAGAAAAAAAAAATTCTTTACTTACTTACTAATGCAGCTGAGCCCTTTTTGAGGAGCTGCCAATTCTGCGGCTACTCAAGAATTTCCCAGCATTTTATGGAACCAGAAGGTTCACAAGAGCCCTCCACTGGTCCCTATCCTGAGCCAGATCAATCCAATCCATACCATCCCATCCTATCTCTCTAAGGTCCATTTTAATATTGTCCACTCACCTACGCATTCTATGACTACTACTAAAAACACAAATTTTAAGCTCATCCACAGTACATATTCAAATGAAACTATGAAATATTTTGTGTTCCCATAGCGGTAGCCATGATGATTACTGTCTTGTAGGAGGTGATACTATAAAGTCTGGTAGACTGCTAACAATGTTTCAGAATAAACTGTTGCCTCCATCTTCAAAGTAGAAAGCACAGTGGTTACTATATGCACCACATACTTTAATATTACAAAAATCTACATTCTGCCCACACAGTGTATCTTTGTTCCAAAAAAATTCTCAGAATAAACACCACTTGTTTTGCCACACAGCATTAACTCAGTAGAAGCAGTATGTGTTCTGTGAGTTTAGGATTAAATTTTTAAATGTAATTTAGATTGATTTTAGGCTTCAAAGGGTTACTGAACTATTACATGCATCACAAATTTCAAAACTTTAATTTTCGAAGCTGAAATAACAACAAAAAATTCTATGTTATATGATGTTATGCCATACAATCCAGTCAAAGTGAATTGATGTTTACAGGAACACATCACCTCCATCTTCAGCGTCAAAGAGTAAGCAAAGCAAGAAACCAGCATGAAGCAGATACTGCCTCCATCTTCAGGGTCAAAAAGTAAGAAAATAAAAAAAAAACCAGCATGAAGACGGCAGCAATCAAGAAGCAACACTGGTTGAATCTCATAAGACCACATGGCAGGGTATCACAGGAGACAGAATCCTTCATAGTCATCATTGCAACAATTTAAAGTAATATTAAATGGATACAATACCTTATGCTTTTCAATCGTCCTTAAGAACACGTGTTCTTCAAATTTATTGAGGACCACAGCCTTCACGCCAACCATACTTGCTATTAGCTGACAAAAAAACATATAACCATGAAACATTGGTAGTAACATAAGGAGCGTGTCACTTGGTCTCATGTCACCATATCTGGAGTCACTGCAACATGAAAGATGTCATCATACAGTAACAGACACACACACTTCAAACTGACCAATCTACACAGTAACAAAACCTGCAGTAAAATCGGTCCCAGGAACAAGAAGAGACAGAACAGTGTAGAAATTATATTTTTACTTTATATCACATTTAGAGATTACGTAACAACAAAATACCTAATGAGACAGAAGGCAAAGCTGCCCCTGTGTTTAATTAGTTAAGCACTACACAATGAAGACATGTGGGGAAGTGGAGTTATAGCTCCACCATTCTTGACCTCAGCACTAGTTGGAGGTCAGTGGTCAAATTCATGCCCCAGCTCATTTTACTGCTGGGGAAACAACCCCCAAAAACCATTGTATAGGAGTCTGGATGGGCCCCAGAGCTGATCTGGACATTATAGAGCAGAGAAAAATCTCCTGTCCATGCCAGAAACCAGGTTGAAAAGTAATGAAGGAGCAATGAAGGAAGACTTTTGTAGATAATGACATTACAAGTAATGACATTATTATTGATCATGTAAGGTCCGCTTTATGGACGGATGTATAGTGTGTCAATGAAGGTTACATTTTTATACCAGCTCTATCTTAAACATCTTAAAAGTTATAATGTTAAAGGAGCAGAAATAAACTCTATGAACAATTATACTACAGGATATTTACGGAATACGTCTTACCTCATTACTCTAAATGTATACAAAATGTTTCTATGTGTTAGCATTACACCTTTTGACAACCCAGTGGTTCCACTTGAGCATAAAATGGCAGCTGCAAGATCTTTACAATCACCATCAAAAGGCTGGAAATTGTTGGAGTTATTCCACAAGATACTTCTGAAAGGTATGTGTTTGTCAGACACTGGTGATCCAAATACAACAATGTCCTTTAGAAATCCTACAGAACATAAAATCTTGTCTATATTCTCCAGAGGTTGCTCAGAACAAAACATAATTTTCGGCTTCGATATGTCCATGGCATGATGCAACTCACCTGTCAATGGAAAGGTGTTTTTAAAAGGGAGCCATAGATTATATTATCACTCATATATAAAACGCATGCCTTAATGAACTCCACATCTCTGTTCATTTCGTTATAATCAAGCATGTTAACACTTAAGGTGTCTCCAGTACTTTACCTTGAAAATAGCTCTAGCTTTTTACACTCTTAATTAATTTGCTTCCAGAAGCGCCACAGAACCTATCAAAGACGTTTAGAAGTGTGTGTATCCCTGCGTTCAGACAGAAAGAACTGCACAATGTGGACTGCATACATTGATTAGTTAAGTCACACAAGATAATATAATCTACCAAAGTTATGACACATTAGGCAATTCCTGCTAACAATTCAAGTGGAAAATTTGGCAATTTCCATGTCTAACTAAAGTTTTCAAAAGTAACCCTTCCCTTCAGAGGCCAAAGTTCATCATACATTGTCAGGCCTGCAGAAAAAATCCACTCTCATTACAGTCCTTGGGGAATACTTTAAAATCATGTTTTCACTGAATATGCAAATTTAAGAACTTGCTAAGTTCTGAAAGACAGCTTGGGAGAACAAGCACAAACTTAATAAAAATGAAGAAGTATATTATATTTAAGCATCCTGTTGCACTCTACACGATAAATGATACAAACTCCGTCCCAAGTGCAAACAATATATATTATATGACACGTAGTACAGACAAGCAGCGGCACCCACACAAGAAGACTACATTAAATAACACCTGTACAGTGTGAAAACAAGAACTAGCCGCTCCAGCACTTAGACATAGGGCGAGTAGCCCTAAGAATTTCAAATTTTAAATTTAAAATTTAGAGAAAATTTTAAAAGGTTTTAAAAACATCATAACTAAAGATTTTTAGAGTGCTACTACAAGAATATCAAATTTGATGTGTGCAACATAATCTACATACCAGACACATATCAACGATGTAGATGTTGATAATACGAAGAATGTGACATTGTGTTTTTAAATGTTAAATTTTAGACTGGGTTCAGTGTGACAGCAACGTTAAGAGTATACACCTGATGATGGCCGATAGAGGCCGAAACATGTAGTGTAGAAAGAACAAGATCAAAGACATATAATATATATTGTTTGCACTTGGGACGGAGTTTGTATCATTTATCATGAAGAAGTATATTTTCAGCAAAAGCACAATAGACTACTGCAGGTTGCGGTGCAAGGGCCAAGGAGGCCTACCCCTCATACATTCATTCATGCATATTTTCAGCTAACTGAAACACCGTCATTTACTAGTGCTATCTTCTGGACCTATCTTAACCTACATTCACATTTAACTTTCACAGAAATGACAGTGACAATCCAACAGGCACTGCCCAACTTAGACTAATTGTACACAGATACACTGCCGTCACTGCCTGAAGGTCTCGCACACTTCAAGAAAAGTTATGAAATGTGATTCTTGCCAAATTTTTCTGGATTTGCCTTATTTCAAGTTTTGCATATAATGTGACACTTTATTAATATTCGGGACACACAGTAGATTAGTTGGTTAAGGCACTATGCTACAAGCCAGAAGGTCATGGGTTCGATTCTCGATGAGGTCACTGGACTTTTTCAAGTTACCTAATTCATCCAGCTGTACTATGACCCTGGGGTAAACTCAGCTTCTAACAGAAATTAGTACCAGTAATCTTCCTGGGGGTATAGGGTGGCTGGCTGACAACCTCGCTGCCATCTGTGAACCAACTGTCTAGAAAATGTGGGAGCCTCAACATCTCAGAACGTTATGGGCCTTCAGGGCCTATCATAGGGACATCTTTTTGTTTTAGCTTTTACTACTTCAATAAAATGACACTGCACTGTATTTTTGTTTATGCTTACGGAGTGTGTAGTTTGGGTTCAATGGTGCACATATTGCTCCAGCAAACAAAGTTCCTATCACTGGCAAGATAAAATCAAGACTATTTTCACTACAGATTCCAACCACATCTCCACTTCTTATTCCTCTTGAATAAAGGAAGTCAGCAACACTAAGGGATGCAGACATGACATCGGCATATGTTCTTGTTTCTCCAGTGACCACATCCACCTGCAATTCATCAGTATCAAGTATAAACATGCATATGCCAACGTTCTTCACAAGAAGTACCATTTTTTCTTTTAAACTGATTTGAGTGTGGGTCCCTTTGATTATTTAAAAATGCTGGAATTACAGAATGCAAGAAAACATAACTGAAGATTACTATTTTCTGGAATGTGACACATGGTAGTCTGATGGACACTTACCAACATTTTGGAGGAAGCAACTGAAGATTGAACTACCACATTCCTCTGACGCTTTAGTAACTACCTACCTGATACAGAGTGTCACAACCCAGAAGACAACAATCTTCACAGTCACTGCCCCAAGCTTCATGCTTACACTTCTACCCTGAAGACAAAGGCAATATGTTCCTCCAGAACGTTCATAATGATCTACTACACTACACATCATACTCCACAAGACAGCAATATTCATTCACATCCATGAAAATTTCAAAACTTGTAAACTTAGTTTAAATACATTGTTCATTCATTAAAATAAAATGATGTCTGTTACTTAATTCTTAAACAATGTGTGAAATGCAGTGTGCCATTAAAGGCAGTCAAACCAATTTTCATCAATGTAGCCAGGAACACTTATCCAGAGAGATAAGTGAACAGCTATCCTGGAACTTTCGATTTTAGAGGCCCTACAAAATCAGCACAGGGCACATGGTAGTGTAGTTGGTTGAGACACTATGCTACAAGCCAGAAGGTCATGGGATTGATTCCTGATGAGGTCACTGGATTTTTTTTTTCAATTTGCCTGATCCTTCCAGCCACACTATGGCCCTAGGGTCAACTCAGCATCTAACAGAGATGAATATCAGGAATCCTCCTGAGGGGTAAAGTGCAGCTGGCGGATAAGGCTGAGAACATTACCGTCATCTGTGAGCCAACTGTCTAGAAGATCTGGGAGCTTCAACATCTCACCACCTTATGGGCCTTCAAGGCTTTACCTTTTTCACCTTTTACCTAATCAGCATTGGTACCATGTCTTTAAGGATTCTCATACTCTTTCCATACACCTCAAGAATGGATCTGCAGACTCTTCTGTCCATGTTATAGCATATTTTCAACAGCTACACCAATCATTTTCAGATTATGCACTGTTAACCTATTCCTGCCACTTTCACTATTGTCAACATAAAAACGACTGTACTGGAAACAAAGAGCAAAGTATTTTCCTTATTTTTAACAAAAGATGGGGGAAGAGGCAATATCATACTTTTCCCAGGGCCCACAACTGTCTTAAAGCAGCACTGATATTGACTAATACTGTAAGAACAGCATTTACCTGAGCTATTTTGTCTCCATGACTGCTCAAGCATTGATATAGGTATCTACCAAGAGAGACATCTGGTATGGGAAATAAGAGTTTAGGTCCAGTCAACACATTCTTGGATCCCATTTCCATGCACAGCTTTATGCCACTCCGTATTTACCTAAAAAATAATACATATACACGTTAATTTTACAAAAAAACTGATCAGGTAACTACTGTAGTTTGTGCTTGCGATAAGTAATCCATCTCTCCCTCTCTCACATCAGAACCAGCAAGCATATCCAGATCTTTAAACTGAACTTTCTATGTCACAGAAAATTACTCACAATCATAATATAGAATTTAATACAAAAACTGATATATGTCCGTGCAGTGAATAAACATTCGTTTCATGTTGAAGTTTAATGAAAAACTGTGTTTTTTTGTTGTTTTTACTTAATGGTGAAATTTCAATGCATTATTTTCTTCCTACCAGCATTTCTATATCTTACATGGTTCAATGGATGAAGAATTATCAATTTTCTTCTTTCCTCCCATATTCCCTTCTTTTTGGTTTCTTGCAAGTTTTTGTAACTTCTTGCCGTCTTCCTATACCTGACTTAACCACCTTCTTCTGGGTCAACCTCTAAATCTTTTTCCTTTAAATTTTAGTCATAATGTCCTTCATGGTATCCTTATTCTGTCCAATTCCTTTTTGTGTGGTCAAACCATTGTTAACTGTCCTTCTACAACGCATATTTTCTTATGTAAACAGCAATATGCTGACATCACACTGTCATTTGTATGTGTCTTACTTTAAACATAGAGTTATTAACTTTTTACAGCTCTTACATAAAATATAAATCATTCTGGTTATGAAGACCAGACTATAAAGAGAATCTGAAATCAGTGACCTGTCATATCAATCCTCTATCTACCTACCTATTTATAGATACAGAAGACTCTTTATATTCCATATATGGAATACCCATGGCACTTTCAGAATCCCTTAGTTATTGACTGTAACTTCTTGCAATGATTCAAGTATTGACAGTAATAGTGTTTCAGTAATATGAATTAGTAAAGCTTTATAACAGTAGACTGTACTATCTTCTCATCTAGTTACAGCTTTCTGTTCTGTAATTTTACTGCTTTTTGAACTGGCATGCTACCCAGGATTACTGCTTTTTTTAACTTTGTCCATCATCTGGTATTCTAAAGAACACAAAGAACATAACGTTTGTGTTCTTTTGAATACTGGATTATGAACAAAGTCTGAAAACCCAGTAATCCTGAGTGTTATGCACCACTGTCAGAACCCTTCAGAATCAACTGGCCTATTACCATTCAATGATTGTTACTTTTTTTTTCTGTTGCAAAGATATTCACCTCATTATTTAATGACCAGTAGGTAATATTAAGTTATTTTCAGAGTTTAATGTAGCATGGATAGTATTTCCAGATTCTTGGATTACCCATTGCTTTTAATTATCCATGTCATTGCTCCCCTCTCTCACGGTAAATAAATGAGAGTAGTCACCACTGAGTTTTAACCTGATGACAGAAGCACAGCCAGCTACTAAATTCTTTACTTCTTTTGGCTTATTCTGGACTTCATCCATCATCTGGTATGTAAAAGACAAAAGACCACGACGTTTCGGAGACTGGATCTGTCTCCGTTTTCAGGTGGGTATGGAAGGATAAACCTACTCAGTTGGGCCCGTTAGAAAGAGCTAGCCTCAATCACTGGACCCAGATGATGGATGAAGTCCAAAATAAGCCAAAAGAAGTACAGTATACACCATCGTCAGAATCCTTTCAAGTCTAGTAAATTCTTGTTTATAACCAAAACAAGAATTTCTAGTACATATGTCAGTTTCATAACACACTTTTATCACAAAACTCTGGACTTGAGGAATTTTAAAGTTGTTATTCTAACTGGTTCATCATATGGCACTATTAAATCTCTGAACATTATAAGTGTACATTCTCAAAACAATACTTTAAGCACAAGAATAATGTCATTGTTGGCTAACTGCTGTTTCACGTGCCACAACAGTGCCTAGACCTGCCCTTGTAGCAATCCCTTCATTCATACTATTCAGTAAAAATAGCATCCAAGAACTGTATCTAGGATAACTGGAATTCTGGCCTTTGTGCCTCACCTAGTGCTATAAACAGAATGCAACATTTTAGAAAGCAGGTGTGTTTCTATCCTCAGGTGAAAAGGTGTGGAGGCACTTACACAATTATGTCTGTTACAAAAAGATATTCTCAATATCAGACAAGTCAGTCAGCTAAATCTATATATGCATGTGCAATCAGGTTGTGTCAATGGCAGAAACATAATTTATAACAGGCTGTTTTGTGTTCAAAATAAAATATAAGTCAGATAAAAAATCCAGTAATCCTAAATGTAATATGCCATCATCTGAATCGTTTTGAAATGCTCCATAAATTATAGATCACCATTTCTTGTCAACGTGGGGAAAAACAATTAAATTATCAGTCACTTCATTGGATCATGCAACCCAGCACCTGGCCAGCAGGACAGCAGCCAACTCCATGCAGTCAAACGTCCTGTGCATCTTAACAAGCATCATATTCTTCTTAACTAAAGACATAACAGTGCATCATCAATGACATATAAATATGTCAAAACATTGGTATAAAACTATACAACATACAGAATTTATGGCAATATAAAAAGGATGGTTGGATTCCTGGCTTGGGAGTGCAGATTGGAAGCACTAATACATAACACTATATCTGTGGTAAAATTATTTTATTTTATCCATTTTAAAATGAATGAACTATAATTCCAAGCACCTTATACTACTATCAAGTGCAGTTTTGAAAAGGGTGATTAGCAGAAATTTTCCCAACCATATATTACAGAAATTTGATATGATACATTTAAAAAAATATATGGCAGTTTTTTGGTTGAAGTTTCACAGTTATGAAGAGAGTTCTTGAAGTTTTGTGTAGATATATAGGGATTAAGGTACACTCCTGGCAAATGCCAAGACTCTAATACAATATATCTCAGCAAGGGTAACCAACCATGAAATTCTAAGCAGGAAGCTAATTAAGTTCCATTCATAGGTTGATTGGCACAAACATGACATTAGTTTGAGTATTGTCCATCATCTTGAGTTTCTTCAAATACAACATTTCAGAAACCGATCTGTTTCTATCATCAGATGTAAGGAAGGTAAGTTTCCTATTCAGTTGGGCCTGAAAGAAAGTGACTGTGATTCACAGTAACTGACTGCATCTGTACAATGGGCCCTTCCACCTGGTGATGGAAAGACATTATAGTTTATGAAAAGATATGTTAAAACACTAAAAAAAACAGAAACTATCTAAAATAACAGACATGTTTGTTATAACAAACCATAGTCAGAAACATTTAGATTGGTTGGCTGGTGTAGCTGGCACTCCATCTCTTTGTACTTAGCAATAATCCTGAACAATACTGCAGTCAAAACCATTACATCTCCAATCCTGCTCTGGAAATTCCCACATTCAAATCTGTAATATGATACATTTCATTTACTAAGCAAAATAACAAACAGAGAAATCTAATTTAATATTTTTTCACCTAAGAAATGTGAAAATGTATACAGAATAAATTAGAAATGAGTTTGGTTACAGAATTAAATGCATATAAAATTTTAGTCAAAAACATTTACAGGAAGAGACTATTTGGAAGACCTAAACTAAAATGGATCTTAAAGAAATAGTGTATGTGCAAGTGGACTGGGTTTGTTTAGCTGAGGACATGGTTCAGTTCATATGCTGTCATCTTATTTCTTTAAGATCCACTTTAACATTAACCCCTTCTCTATGTCTAAGTCGCCCAAATGAGATTTCCTCTTCAGGTCTTCCAACTAACATTTTGTATGTATTTAATTCTGTAAATGAACTCCTTTTAATTCACGCTGTAAATTTCTTTATTGCTGAGTAACTATGAGCTTATCATGGACAACTCTTCTCCACGGAATTAATCACTCAGTTATTCAAAATAACTTAAATTTAATGTGTATAAGTAAACACAATGCATTAACCCATTAAACAGAGTGGTTACCACATCTGAAACTTGTTTTAACATTCAGATCTCTGCATTTTTCCCATTACACTATTCTTCCTTGGTTCATCCTGGTCCGTCACACTAGTAACATGTAAAGGATGAAATATTATAAAAACACATTTATCAATCACACTGGATGCCATTAATAATCTTTTATGGTGATTACTTCCTTAAAACATTTACCATTTGGTGTTTATAATGGAGTTGCGGAACTTGTCTCATGCGAGGTATGTCTGGATCTTATATAAATTTCAGGTTTCAAAGGTTTAGGAAAAAGACGGACAGTAAAAGTTAAAAAAAAAATAAAGTCCCTTTAGCCACCACAATTTATAGATCAATTTGTGCTATGAGTATTTACCTGCAGTAAAAAACTATATATAGTACAATGTTCACAAATAATCACATCTTGGATTTTAACATAATTCTCAGTTCTCTTCTTAAGATCTTTCCACTCGATGTCTTAGGAATAGACTCAACAAACAAAACTCCACCACGCAGCCTCTTCTGTGGAGATACGTGATCTGTAACAGTTCAGAAATAAACAGATTTATTGCTTGAGTTCAATGATGATCAAAAGAAGATGAGTGAGTTTGGCATATCCACATCTATGGCTTATGATATACCTGGCTAAAGTCAAGTAAAAACATTATTTACTGAGCTTTGAAATTAATTAAATAAAATCAAACATCTGTCACACTACAGAGTGGTCTCACTGTGTGTAAGACTGCAACAAGAACCAACATTAAATATTGGGATAAAGATTGATATACTCCATGAGGGTACATCATCTTTAATTAGTAAAGCAGATCATTATATCAACATTAGAAAGCTACTATGCTCTGCTTTCAGCATACTCCTGCTATTTATATGCTGATGGGAAATTCAACATACTGTCACATGCTAGTGATTAGGCAAGGGTCTGGATTCATAACTGGATTTATTGAATGCTTACAACTCGTAACTGCAAATAAGTAGAACAGTCTCACCAACTGACATACTATACAGTTCACTACAACTACAGAATGAATGAATTCTTCTGAAGAAAGCGGTCTTCTGGGATGTGGTGCCATGTAGATATTGTGTTAACCGATGTTTTGGAGGAATCTATCGCCTCCATCTACAGGGCAGAAGAAAATAGAAGGAAATCTGTCAGCTAGGAAGCAGCATGAGCAGGTGCTAACAGACTAATGTCGAGTCAAGTCAACCCAGCTGTATAAGAGCAGGAAGAGAGGGGAGAGGGGCTACATGGGAAAACATTAGAGAGGATAGGGGAAGGGTCTGGGGAGGTGGGCCAGCAGGTAGCAGGCCAAAGCAGGTATAGAGTATTGTGTCAGGGGAAGAAAGGCAAGGTTAATAAGAGGGCATTAACCCTGAGGTTTTGGGGCTACGATGCGAGTCGGGCATGGACCTGCATGACCTGTGGATCTGGCGTCATGTCCCGGAGGTTTCTTGAGGGAACAGATGAGAGACTTCCATGACTTGCTAAGACAAAACCCCACCTCTCTGTTCATATTGTTGGGATGGAATTCAATCTCAGTGGCCTCCCTAATGATGCAATCCATATATCGGGTCTTGGTGGTGAGGATGGTGGTATTCTGAATCTGCTCACACTGGTTCCTCACTCGCAGATTTTCTTCTTCTTTCTTCTATCCTGAAGATGGAGGCGATACGTGCCTCCGAAACATCGGTTAGCACAATAGCTACATGAAAGACGGACAGTAAAAGTTGCTTTCTTCATAGTCACTGCCATGAAAACCTCAAATCTTACCTAAAGTCTTCTGTTTGCTAACTAGTCATTGCTAGGCTGTGGCTCCTAACAAAGCAGCTCAAGACTGCCTGGTCTGCTGCTGGGTCCTCACTATATAGCCTTGGCACAAATGACATATAAAACACTGCTTTCAGCCATTCCTCTATTGTTTGGTGTTTGTTGCAGCCAAAACATATTTACCACTCTATTGCCTAGCAACAATCACCTCTTCTTGTTCCAGTTTTCAGCTTTCAGCTTACACGGAACTTTTCTTTCACAAGGTTTCCTACACAACATGTGACATTTCTCTTTTCGTTGAGTTAATGTGCTTTAATAAAACAGGCTGCATACTGACCTGCAAGATCTCAGAATGACATTGATAAAAAGAGACCTAATCACAAGAACAAAAAAGAAGTTCTAGGAAGAACTAATTGCCTACTTTCACTACATGCTGAGTATTTGATAGGACATATACCACATACAAAACAGCATGACCAACAGTTCTTCTGTTGCTGTTCTTGTTTCATGTGTACATGTTGCCACAGGAATGTGTTTACCAAGCAGTTGGCTGGAAATGATGTGGGGGATACGCAGATGCAGACAGCAGGACAATCTCATAAACCTATTTATATTTTTTTTAATAAGAAAAGTATGCTAAAAAAGTAAAAAAATACTGTCTTAACTCAAATCATGAAGAAATGCCATGTTAGATATGCTACATGTTCTCCTAAGATGTCACACAACAGGGTATGAGTAAGGAAGCTACGGTGTTCTTTGTTGTAATGCTGGCAGTCTCAAAAGATGTGCAAAATAAAAATAAATAATCCGTGGCCTGTAGTCCACAAGCAAACTATACTGACCGACAAACCACCGCTTGTCGGTGAAGTTAGTGTCAACTTTTGCAGATAGAGGTTGTCACGTGGTCAGCGCAATGAATCCCCATAGCCGTTAGTCTCATTCTTCTAGACCAGAGCCTCTATTTCCTTCAAATAGCTCCTCAATTATCTTCATGAGGCTGAGTGGACCCCGTTCCAGACCCGCTACTTCTAAGAAAATCTGGTAGCACTGGGAATCGAACCCAGGACCTCTGGATCTGTAGGCACGAACTCTGACCACTGGACCACAGAGGCGGTCAATGTGTAAAATGGTAAGGGCAATACCCACTGAGGACAGCTAAGTATCAGGTCACCTCGCAACACAACACATGCCCATGTATCAGGCAAGTATGCCCAATCTCAAGGCATGTAAGCATGATTCTTCTTTCCTAACAGAGCTGATGGAAGATGGCCCCATTCAAATTTATAGCTTTATGGTCTACAATTTTTCACAGCAAAGACAGCATTATGACAAAAACATATGTGATGGTGGTACTCCTGCTGACAGTAAGTCCAAATATTTCTGACAATGGTGTGTTATCATAAACATGACTATTACTTTGGGCATCATACACTGTCTTGAACCCTTTAAAACACAACATTTTGGAAAATGAATCTGTTTCTGCCATCAACCAGAGGGATAGAAAGGTTCCTATGCAGCTATATCCATCAGAGCAAGTCTCAACCAGTGGATCCAAAGTAACAGTCATTTTTAACCCTTCAAAACTCAGTGGTCATTATACATACCACCTGCTTTAATATTAAAAACTCTTAATTTTTCCCACAGAGTATATTTAGTTGTTTTGTACAATTCACAGTGAATGGTGATTACCTCAATGAACAGGCAACAACAGAGTGGTCTTTGTAATGGAGATGCAATGTACAGGGGATGGACAAAACTATGGAAACACCTCTTGAAATGCATGCCTGAATTGAAGTGTTTATTTTAGCGACATTTCTAGGTTATGCTGTCATATCTGCCCAACACCACTACCTGTACAACCTCCGTTATACGTTGCAAGCTTCATTTGTTGTCGAGACAGTGTTCTGTGCAATTTTTTGTGCATCACATCAGAGCTAACAGAATTCGAACGCAGGCAAATTGTTGGGGCCCATATGGCGGATGCTTCCATAACCAAGGTAGCGGAGGTTTTTGGTGTTTCGCGAGGCACAGTATCCAAGATTATGACCACATACAGGAGGACTGAAAAAACAGCATCCAATAAACACCAGCATGGACAGAAATGTGTGTTGAATGTTCGAGACAGACGAACATTGCATAGGATTGTGATGAAAAATAAGAAGACTACAGCTGCAAAAGTGACTTCTGAACTGAATGTCACGCTCACAAACCCTGTCAGCACCAAAACAGTATGAAGGGAACTCAACAAGCAGGGTATTTCTGGACGAGCTGCAATTCCAAAGTCACTCATCAGTGATCAAAATGCCACTAATGCTTGGGTTTCCTCGGGTAGCGGTACCATAATCAAGCGGCCGTAATATGACGGTGAATGACGTCACTAAAACGTTGCCATGGAAACCATGTTCCTTTGTTTCCATGGCAACGTTTTAGTGACGTCATTCACCACCATATTATGGCCGCTTCATTACAGTACCGCTACCCAAGGAAACCCAAGCTTAAGAGGACAGTGTGGTGCCGAAGTCATAAAACCTGGACTATGGTCAATGGAAGACGGTCATTTGGTCAGATGAGTCCACCTTCACACTGTTTCTGACTTCTGGCCGAGTTTACGTCTGGAGAACGCCATCCCAAGCTTATGATCCAGATTGTTTGCTGCCAAGAATGAAACATGGCGGGGGTTTGATCATGGTATGGGAGGCCATATCGTGGTATTCTGTCAGACCCATCATTACCCTGCAAAGTCACGTCACTGCCAATGACTGTGATCATTTTGGGCGACCAGGTCCATCCCATGGTGCAAACTTTGTTCCTTAATGGTGATGCCATTTACCAAGCCAACAATGCCTGTGTTCACATAGCTCACATCATCCAGGACTGGTTTTCTGAGAATGAAGATGAAGTGTCACATCTGCCATGGCCCCCACAATTGCCAGATATCAATATTATTGAGCCTTTGTGGTCTGTTTTGGAGAGCAATCTGCATGCGTGCTATCCACCTCCATCATCGATAATAGATCTTACCATGTTTTTCACAGGAAGAATGGTATAAGATTCCCTTGCAAATCATACAGGACCTCTATTTATCCATTTCAAGGAGACTGCAAGCAGTTCTGAAAGCCAGAGGTTGTCGTACACCATATTAGTCACGGTAATGTGTTTTTTGTTTGGTGTTTCCATATTTTTGTCCATCCCCTGTATTTACTATGTGACAGGCATTGAATTTTCACATATTATCCTGAAGAAATTCAGGCCTCAAAAGGTTGACGGCGACAATGATGGTGGCGGTGGCGGTGGTGTCGATGATGATTTGTTATATTTCAAATATATCTAACCTGCCACATATTTAATGATTTCTTCTTTAGTCAACGTTGCACCAGGCTGTTTCACTATGAACGCTAATGGTAGTTCACCTGCTGCTTCATCAGGAATACCAACCACTCCTGCATCCTTAACAGCTGGATGGGTTAGCAACACAGCTTCTAGTTCAGCTGGTGGAACCTAAATCCAAAAAAACGCTAGTATAAATATGAGTTCTGAGTTCTCATGGTAGTAAATGTTAAAGTTGTGTTCTTCTGTGTTGTGACATGGTGTACTCTTGTTAAGTGAATATAAGTGTTCCTCTTGGCTTGGATTAGTAACTTGCCTACACAGATGAACCCTGAGGTTGGGGGTAGCAAATATCTGCAAAACATCAGTACTTGCCTGCGAGACTAAAGAGTGTCACAATCCAGACAACTACAATGTTTAGTAACAGGGCTAGTGCAGGCCTACATGCTGTCTCACACAACAAAAGATCCCCCACCCAGTTAAAAAAAAATCAACTTTCTCAAAACTCCATTGTAATAAGTAACAGAAAATGTCACAACACTGTGACAAAACCCATCACTGAAGCCAGGCTGGCTAAATTGCTGCTGATCCTTGCCAGCCCGGCCACTCCTGGTTTCGAGTCTCACAGGACTCACAGCCATATTTTACTGTCTCATGACCCTGGGAGTCATGCAACTCTGTCTTGAGTTGAAATCATAATTCTTAAAATGGTTCTATTTACATTCTTGCATAGCATGGTTACATTACTGCCAATTAATAGTCAAGATATGAATAAAAGAGAAGCATAAATTAATAATTTTCATTTAATACAATAAAATATGTTTACAGAATGGGCTACCCCAGGCAGCTGTTCAGTTTGCCTGTGCTGTCATCCTGACCCTGGGTAGCAAAAGTTCTTAGCAAACGGTTATTACGGCATGCAACATAGTTCCAAGACTGAATCTCTACACACAATGTACTGATCTGGTAATACATTCAGGTGCATCTAATAGAGTACTACTAGCACGAAGCCTGTCAAAATTTCAACAGGAAACTGTTAAAAGCAAATTTCATCTAGAATACCAAACTTCAATGTCTTGAAAGACCTGGAAAGGCAATTACGTAGATTTACACCAAAGTACCAAACTTAACAGAATAGCTATACACACTAGGTAGTGCTGCTGTCTAGAGGACTTTTTGGCATCACACATTCTAATATCAATTCCAGCACAGTTTCCACTGCAGTCATATTCTGCTCCTGTTCATAACAACTTTTTAACATACATAATAAAGTAAAGTAAAGCTATCCTTCTAACAGCCCATCAAGGCCCACAGGGTTGTGACATGTTGAGGGTCCCACATTATCTAGACAATCGGCTCAAAGATGGTGGTAAAGTTGTCAGCCTTACGCACTGGCTGCGCTTTAATCTCCAGGAAAATTATTTAGTTAATTCCTGGTACTCATTTCTGTTAGAGGCTGAGTCAACCCCAGAGCCATAGTGTGGCCAGAAGGATTAGTACAATTGAAAATAATTCAATGACCTCATCAGGACTTGAACCTGTGACCTTCCAGCTTGTAGCATAGTGCCTCAACCAACTACATACATAATGTACACACATAAAAACAAAAGAGAAGGTATTAACTTTTTGTACATGAGGATGTTGCACATACACAATGTTTTTGATGAATTCTTATGGACTGAAGTCAAACTAGGAACAATCACATATATTAATTACATCTTAAATAAACCTTACAAATATTTACTATACTGTTCTTTGGAAAAAACAGTAATAATGTCCTTTACCTGATATCCTTTGTATTTGATGAGTTCTTTCGCCCTGTCAACTATATAAAAGAAACCATCTTCATCATAGTAACCCACATCTCCAGTGAGAAGGAAACCATCAGAGTCAAAGCTCGCTGCTGTAGCTTGTGGATCGCCATAGTAACCTTTCATGATAAACGGACCCTTGAAACGTAATTCTCCCGTTTTATGGGGTCCAAGGGTTCTTCCCGTTTCCAAATCCACAACCTGTACAGAACATATGACAAATCATACCAGCTGCAAACCATCTTTGAATTCAGTAATCAACCCCATAAAGCAGGGTCTTTCCTAAACAACAGTTAAGATATTTCTTGAGGATAATAATCCTAAAGAGTAACACCATTTAGGACATAATGCCATGTAGTCTGCTGAAAATTAACCAACGTTCCACAGAAACATACTGCCTCCATCTTGAGGGACATATGCCCAACTAGTGAGAACATATATATGAAGGAGGCATAAACATGGATGCTGAAAAAGGAAAATAATGCACAATGGAGAGAGAGTTGTATTTTCAAACAAACACATTTTTGCATGAACAATGATAAGCAACAGCATGGAAATATATTGACTTATGATCTAGGGCAGTGAAACGGTTTCAATAAGTAAAGAATTTCTTTATTAAAAGTAGTCTTCTGTTTCTCATCTGATACTAAAAAATTCTGTAGTTAATCTGACACACTACTAGAATCAACTAATAACACTCTCTCACACAGGGTTAGAAGAACATGGTTGCCAGATTGCCAGTATTGATCAAACATTCTGGGCTGTGGCTAATTTAACACTCAGGAATTGGGTTTCACAGTTCTGGCACTCTTGATAATGGCTAACCACATCCATATACGTTAACATCAATGTAGTTAGCAACTTACAGCTATTAACCTCTTTTTATAAATTTGATCTTTTTTGCCATTTTCTTATGCCTGCCCTGCACAGGTTCCAAGCAAAAAAAAATGGCAAACATGAGAAAATAAATCTTTTATGTCGTAGAAGAGTCACAACAAGGTGCCAGACAATTCTCATACACCTATTTCTGGCAACCAAAATATTTATATAATCAAAGGATTAAAAAAGTTTGCCCTGCCCTATACTATGTCAAATCAGTATCAGACTGTACATTATCTTCATAACACAGATTATCTTAATCCTGCCTTGTCTTATTTTTATCAGATTGCTGTTTACCTTGCATGTTACTCCTGGTCTCAAGGTTCCAGCAGTACCTTTCTTATTTTCATTTTCTGTTGGGCCAATAACAGCAAGCGTTGTTTCTGTCAGGCCATAGGCCTGAATCACTAAGTCAACTCCTAGCCTCTTTTTCACAAGTGTCTCAATTTCTTCACTTAGAGGAGCAGCACCAGAGTAAATACGTTGCACACTTGATAAGTCATATTTATCCACAATTTCTGCTTTTGCCAAGAATACAACAAGGGGAGGCACCAAGAACAAATGTTTAATCTAAAACAGAAAGCATTACTAAAAATTAATTAATTACTGTCGGAAAGAAAATGCAAACAAGTAGGATTTGAGGAACTTGAGAAAAGTTAAAGACCTCACCAAACTAGACTGTACTGTAACATGTATATCCATTGCCATGCAATGGGTCACTAAAACATTCCAGAAACACATGTGAACGAAACAGCTGCATTTCTATTGCCATACAATGACTCAGCAAACACATTCAGACAAACACACAGCATTAGGAGTGGTGTTCTCTTTGGGTCCATGCTGCGACCTTTGCTATGCAGCAGCCAACATGCCAATGAACTGGCTGGGTAGCCATCACGTGGGAACCCTAATAGACATGCATGCAACAATAGAAAAGCTATGTTTTCTGTGCATGGTCCATGCAAAGTGGTTACAGGAAGTGTTCAGCAGGACAATGGTAATGGTAGATGGAGTAGAGTGGAGTATACAATGGTAGTCGAGAGTAGTCTTGGAATTGGCAGCTGCAGAAATAGCAAGAAAGGAATTAGACAGTACCAAGAAGACTTCAGGTGTGATTTGAGGTTACAGTTAGAGTGTGATAAATCCTTTGCCAGGATACAATTAGTGAAGACACAGAATCCTAGTGCATGTGTAATGGTAAGCTGGAAAGTATGCAGAATAGTGATAGCATTGTATTACCTGTAGTCCTGAACTGTGTGAAGGTATAAGTATCAATAAATCCAATCATCCAATCCAGAACCCATTATTGTTAGCAAAGAAACCCCTGACATGTGACAATATTAACAATGAAGATACTAAAAGAGAACTACAAATATAGTGAGTTCAAAATAACACAGAGGAATACATACAAAACTAGTAGAAAACATGGCGCCATGTTCATCAAAAAAGACAACCAGCTGAAACTTCATAGGAAAATAATCCCTGCTTACTGGGAGAATCAAACAGAACACATAAATACACTGATACTGACAGCCAGTGCAAGCTATTGAATTCTTACCTTGTGATTTTGAATGCTTCTCAGAAATATGTGTTCTTCAAATCTATCCATAACTACAACCTTTGACCCAGCTGTAGCTAACAACAGCATAAACATAAATCCATATGCATGAAACATAGGCGTCAACCCCAGAGTTACTTCTCTATTGTCAATGAAGTTAATGCTGGGTTCCCTAGGAATAAAACAACAGAGTATATTCTAAATTATCCATGCAGAGATTGCCTCGTTTCCAGCTTATCTATACTTCACTTTTGACACATTCACAAGCCTGAGGAGTGCCCACTAAGGTCTCTCAGCTCATCCATCCATCTGTATGTACAACACAGCTTGAGAACCAGTTAAAGAATTTTCATGAAATGATAATATATTGATGAAACCATGTTTTGAAATATTTGCTATTTATATTTGTCCCATGAAGTTGGAGACTTATATTTCAAAATCGTACAAAATGATTATTAAATAAATACTATATACAGCTCAACATTTAATGTTATAAAAGAACAAATGGCTTGGGAACTTCTTCCTGATTGCATAGTAACACACATTCCCTGGATTTATATTTATCACAATTTAATCATTAACCCCATACCCACATTTAATTCTATTACTTTCAGGCATTTCAATTGTGAAACACTTTTAGATTAAAACAGCATTATACTTTAGTACATGTGGTTCTAAAAGCAGACGCTTCTAATTCAGAAAAAGAGCAACAGACAGGGGATTAAATTTTATCCTACAGTTAGGTTACCTACTAGACAAGTTCACTGAACCAACGGGAGGCAAAGTAAAAGCATACAAGCAGTAAAAGTAATGCCAGGACATAAGTGTAACAAAGCAAACCTCAAAATATCCATCAATAAACAATCCAAATTCTAATGCCTGTAATTGCAATTAAATACTTAATGTAAATCAACTTCTTTCTCTTAATGGAATTTGATTTTAACTATAAAATAGCTTCAATAATTACATAATGCAGTGCTCCTGCATATGACGAGCAGTCCAAAAGACTGAACTTGCCTCAAGACATTAACACTGATTTTAGAACACTCTGTTCTTGTCCACTGCTATAATGCTTTGATATTCTTGGCCATTGCTTGTAAATGATCAACTTCAGATGCCTCCACAAAAATAAGTACACTGGCATACTGTTTGGTGACCTAGGTGGTAAATGAATGGGACCTTGCTGACCATTCCATTTATCTTTGAAGGTGACACCTATAAAGCCTCTAGGCATGACTTCTGGCCCACCAGGTACACTTCAGTAAATGCACAAACAGACTCAACTACCTTACTGTGTTGTTAATCAGTAAAGTGTCAGGTCTGATATGAAGTTCAAAATTTAAAAACTAAGGGTGTGATAGTGTGCTGCTCAGTCTGGGCTATGACACACCTCAGAAGGCAGTGACAGATGGGGACTAGTATTGGTGAAATGAGATTAGCAGGGCGGTCATGAAGGAAGTCAGAGAACAACCGGCTCCTGTGCCACTTCATTCAACACAAATCTCAACTGTAGTCACCTGGGTCTGAACCCAAGGCTCCACACTGAGAAGTTAGCATCTAATTGCCTTAGCTTTGGTATGGCCTATTTAAAAATATAATTGTATTAGTTATGTAAAATTGTATGAAATGTCAACTATTCTTACGACACATATTCCAGCAAGGAAATAATGTTCTTCTGTGAAAGCATCACTCCCTTAGGCAGTCCAGTTGTTCCACTGGAGCACAAAATGGCAGCTACAAGATTCATATCATGCTCATCCAATGGCTGAAAACTGCATGATTTGTCTCGCAGAAAAGTAACAAATGGCGTGTGTTTATGTGACATCGGTAATCCAAAAGTTACAATTTCTTTCAGGAATCCAACATGACGTGAAACTTCATCCACACAAGCCAGTGCTTTTCCAGAGCAAAATATAATACGTGGCTTAGATATATTTATAACATGAAGCATTTCATCTGCAAACATATCTGTATGTTAGAAAACACTAAGTTATTGTAAATTATTGATTAGAAACGTTTAGTGCACAATTAATATACACAAATGAAACATGTAAGCATATGAAGAATTAGGGCTGGGAGAGGTATCACATAATTTGAGATGCTCAAGGCAAGGCTATGAAGATGGGATGTTACATGGTGCACAGTGATGGACTGTTATCATCATTTCAGAGGAATCTGCTACCTCCAGCACAGAAGATAAAACAGTAAGCTGTGTAGGAAAAATCAGTCATTGATATAGTGACAGGAGGATAAGAACTAGGGATAAGAGTGAACCATTGGATATAGTGGAAAATGAATTGCCATTCACAGAGGATTTTATTTTAAAACATAAACATAACACATTTAACACAGGCCTACTTGTCTGTTCCTGTTCATTGGAGTTTTATTTTATTGTGAATGATATAATTAATTTTATTTAATTGGATATTGTTACATTATACACATATATGACGTGTTAAGACTTACTGTAAGTGCAAACATAAATGCACTGACACTTACGAGCAGTATAGTTTGGATTCATCGGGGCACATATTGCACCAATGTAATATGTTGCCAAAACTGGTACAATAAAGTCAAGACTGTTCTCACTGCAGATAGCTACTACATCCCCAATTGCTACACCTCGTACACGAAGACATTCAGCTACGCTGAGGCTTCTTGTCAGGATGTCAGAAAATGTTCTGGTCTCCCCTGTTACTGCATCCACCTGCAAGTTGGTTACTACACGTATATATTTGCACAACAATGATGCTCGTCACTAGATAAGAATAAAATACCTATTACTGTGAGAAATGTAGAGACAAAAGCACATCAAATGCAAGGAAGTGGCATGTAGAGAAACACTTGTTGGATGTGAGGTATTCACAATGGTGACTATGAAGAGTACCATCTTCTGCAATGTAATTCTGTGTAATCCATAACGTTTCACATGAATGTACTGCCTCCATCTTCAGGATCAAACAATGTGCTAAACAAGAAACCAGCAAGAAGCAAAGAAATGGAGGCAGTACTTCCTCTCAAATATCAGTGGACTTCTACTAGACTACACAGCATTACATACCAGATGACAGTGTTCTTAAGATATATACTGGTTACCTGCATTTGGTTATAATGTGCTGTACCTGGCAGAGCATTTTGTACAACAAATATTCATTCCCTAATGCTTCCTTAGACCATCTGTGGGAATTAAGCTTCTCAGCTTGCATTTTAGTACAGTCTTCAGTGCAGTTGCAGTCACAATACAGTACATTGCAGGGTCATCTGTTAAATATAGTTTCAACANTCCACCTGCAAGTTGGTTACTACACGTATATATTTGCACAACAATGATGCTCGTCACTAGATAAGAATAAAATACCTATTACTGTGAGAAATGTAGAGACAAAAGCACATCAAATGCAAGGAAGTGGCATGTAGAGAAACACTTGTTGGATGTGAGGTATTCACAATGGTGACTATGAAGAGTACCATCTTCTGCAATGTAATTCTGTGTAATCCATAACGTTTCACATGAATGTACTGCCTCCATCTTCAGGATCAAACAATGTGCTAAACAAGAAACCAGCAAGAAGCAAAGAAATGGAGGCAGTACTTCCTCTCAAATATCAGTGGACTTCTACTAGACTACACAGCATTACATACCAGATGACAGTGTTCTTAAGATATATACTGGTTACCTGCATTTGGTTATAATGTGCTGTACCTGGCAGAGCATTTTGTACAACAAATATTCATTCCCTAATGCTTCCTTAGACCATCTGTGGGAATTAAGCTTCTCAGCTTGCATTTTAGTACAGTCTTCAGTGCAGTTGCAGTCACAATACAGTACATTGCAGGGTCATCTGTTAAATATAGTTTCAACATCTCCTACCAACTTACAAGAACAGTCACAGATACACCACAACCCAATTAGCTATTCATTTTGAGCAATAATATAAAGATGTATATTATTATATATAAATTATATAGATGTAGAGTTTATATACAGATATAATCAGGAGAGAATAAGAAACAAAAATCAGAAAGAACCAGAAGATACATATACTGGAAGATAAATTAATAACAGAATAAGATGATATGGGCAACTTATAATGAATGAATAAAATCAGAATCACAAAGATTTTGAACATGAAAATAAAATGAAAACGTCCACAAGGAAGAGTGAGATCAAAATGTGAACATCAGGAAGGAAATTTCAGAGAAGAAGCTTTAGGAAGGCAGAGATAGATGGTCAGGCATGGTTCTTAGATGAAAGAATCAAATGAAGAAGATACAGTATAGTTCTCTGCTGAAGAATATGCATATACACAGCACTGCAACCTCACAGTTCACATTTTACCTTAAAATAATAATGCGGTCAACACTTACATAATTTTTCATTACCACTGAATTAAGGAAATCTGTTAGCATTTTATTATTAAGGAATAAAAATAATGATCTTAACTCAACTTAAACTTAACAAACTTGACCTAAAAGAACTGAAGCAGTAATCTGAAGAGAGTTGTACCTACCATAGCTACTGCATTTCCATGGCGCACCAAACTTTGGTACAGATACCTCCCAACAGATATATCTGGTACTGTAATTGAAATCTCTGGGCCACTCAGTATATGTTGTGAAGCCATGACATACACAGTGGGGAAACTAACTGAAACAGCTTAATATCATTCATATAAGGAAATACTATCAGTGTTTTTCTTGGACTAACAGCCAATCCACAACGCCTGTACTGAAATGTTTTAAACCAGTGAATCAGAGTAGACATGACAGAGAATCCAGCTCCTAATGTCAATAACAATTTTGAGATTATATTACATGCTTTTTCAAGTATGACAGGCAGCCCCTGTCTGAGCCAGTCAAATGCTCTTTCTTTTTATTAGAAACTTACCACTGTTTGGGAGTAAAAGTAACTTTTGAACTCTTAATTTTGAAAGAACATTATAGTTTAATTGGTCAATCATAATTATAGGTAAAATATCACTCTGCTGAACTATTTAAACTATAAGCCATGATGACGTGTGAGGGACTGGATGTATAGATATACATATTCTTGACTTTGGTACTGCTTGGAGGTGAGTGGTCAGCTTCACACCCCGGCAGCTTTAGTCACAGGGAAAGAGCCCACAGTACCTATTGGATAGGAGGCTGGGAGCGCCCCAGAACCACTTACGATGGTGTGGAGATGAGAAAAATCTTGCCCCTACTGGAACAAAAACTCTGACCCCTTGGACATCCAGCCCATAGCCAGTCACCATATCAACTGCGCTATCCCAGCTCTGTCAGTCATATTCATATTATTAAATAAGTTTATCTGCAGAGCTGTCCACAAAAACATGTACAGTTTGGGATTCGCTCTTTTGCAGACCTCACATCATGTATTGATTTGTGTAAAAGTCTAATTCATTTTATATATATTTCAAAATAACATAAAATAAAACAAGGTGTATCACATACTGATCTGTGTAAAGTGTGATTCATTTCCTACATATTTCAAAATAAATACAAAAGACGGTTTGATTTCTTAGCTGAACTACTCATTATGTTGATAAAAGTAGCTTCTAACTTTCAAACAAAGCCACATATAACCTTACATCAAATGAAAACAAGAATTAACACATTCGAGACGTGCAACCATAAGAAGGGGGCAGATGTAGCAGTTGGAGAACGGACAAAGGGAAGAAAAGGAACGGGGAGAACCCTAGGTCGAGAATGTTGGTAGTACACCTGGACCGGCTCGCACATTATTATGGAGCCGCTCGAGACGAGCAACCATAAGAAGGGGGCAGATGTAGCAGTTGGATGACAACGGAAAGAAAAGGAACGGGGATGCACCGTTAGGCTGTTCAGGACGAACAACCTTTAGAAGGGAGCAGTGTGACGTGGATGACACAACAGGAAGTAGGGGTCACGTGAATTCTTCGGTCTCGCGAGTGATGTCACATACCCCCACTCCGTCCATCTTTACGCAACGCTCGGTAAACACCCCCTCCCCCGCGGTGACATAACAGAAGAGCAACTGTGTCAGGCAACCATTGCCACAGTGACGTAACAGATAATATCGCGGTTACTACACAGCAATAAACAAATGTCAACAGCGTTGCCCAGGAATGCCTGTAAACACGGCGGTTACGCAACAGGGAAGCGAGGCGCGTTTTCCGCTACCTGGCTGAGGGTTTATAAGAGAACTGGAATGCCTAAGCAATTAGTTGAATTGTAGCAGTCGCCGAGTTCAGTTGTAGCGAGTGAATCGTGATTAGAGGCGATAGCGTGAGAAGATATTGGGAGTGCGTAATACAGTGACACTGGTATAGCTCCCGTATTGTACTGTAAGTGAAGATTATTGAAGACAGAGAGAACAGCTTATTGTGTAGGGCTTGTAAATTGTGTAAATCCGCAATTATGTTATAATTAATTGTAGTTACGATTTGTAGGTTGTTAAATAAACCAATTAACAATCCGAACGGCATCTTAAGAGACAAAACGCGTTACAGTATTTTCTCACAGCAGTGAGAAAGAGTTTCTTCCCTAAAGTAATAACATAATGCATACTTACTTGTGGTAAGTCCTTCTGGGTGAGAAGCTGTAAATTATTCTTCTTCGTATCGAGAAATTTGGAATTTTCCAATCTTCATTTACTTACACTTTTCCAATGTATTATATATAGAATTTAAAGTACAACTGGCAGTGTATTTTCCTGTATATTTAATAAAAAGAACTAAGACCACTATAGAACATATTTTTTCTCAGTACCAAACACGGTAAAGGCACTTGGGTGTTACTATGAAAGAAGGGCAGGAAATAAAAGAATTTTAAAATCAAATTCTACCTTAAGAATAGCGAAAACTACATAATGAAACGCGTTTTCATTTATACATTTCTTCTAGTAACGTTAAAAATAATAAAAGGTAAAATTTTCATCATGCCACGAAGGTGTACAGTCCACGTACAGATGAAGTTACACGCTCTACCTGTTGGACTTTTGGTTATCACAGCAGTGACTCTCAAGAGTACAGTCTTCTCAACTGTAAAGTCATGTGGGTCAGTAGATGTCCACTGATATTCCGGAAAAATATATTGCCTCCATCCAAGCAGCTGAGGAGTAGCTGAAGCAACAAACCAGTAAGAAGCAGATGCCAAGAAGAGCATTCTCAAGGAATAAAATATAAAGTATACTATCTTTTGGGTTAGTTTCTTGCTTGGAATGCCCCATCTGTATGCTACATGACGATTTCTTGCTATACTTACCCTTAAACCCCCAAAATAGAGATAATATTTTCCTCCAAAAAGTTTGTGAATTTCTACCGAGCTACACAGCACTACATCCCGTAAGACTACATTGTATACATTTTCTTGATCTTAGCAGTAGATCACCCAATATTGTTAGGCTTAAATCACGAGGACCAAACATGAAACATTTTGTGGCTTGTAGATGTGGGGGACTCGGAACCAAACATCACTGTGCTGGCAAGAGTCAGCAGACTTGAAGCTGTCAGTCAGTCAGTCAGTCAGTCAGTCAGTGAGTTAGAGGACTGCTGCAGTTCAGTCACTGTGAGCTGCTGCTGTTAGCAGCTGGTAGCTGAAGCCGGGGACAGCTCGGGAACCCAGGGGAAGGGAACCTCCACCATTGGAAGTCGCTACTAAGCAACAGCAGTGAAGACGTGACTGTGGACACTAGTGTGTAACAGTAAACTTTGACATGTAGTCACACTCTCTATCCAAGAGTCCAATAAATCTGGTCATCAATCCAAAACCCGTCTAGAGTCACACCCCATAAAACTGTAATGAAACAATTTATGTTATTACTCTCAACTATCAGCCAATGATTTCAGCCTGAGTTTCTGTACAGTTCTCGCAAATAAAACTTCTTTATATTTATTTCCTTTATAATGCATAGTTATGAGATTCAAACCCACATAATTCTAGTTATCTGACAACTTCTACGTACATTACTCTCCTTGCCAGAAGAGGGGTTCACATTCCTACCGCCAGATGTGTTGGTGTGGAGGCAACGCTTATAACTTATATTTGGGAGGTGTCCAGTTTAGATCTTAGCCAGGACACTGGCTACCTTGACTGAGGTGTTCATAGTTTTCCTCAGTCACTCCAAATGCTAGGATTGTACCTTGAAAAAGGCCATGGCCATTCCCTTCCACATCCTTTTGAATCCCTTATTCATTAACTATCTTACCAACCAACATTATATACTGCATTATAAGCTAATGACAATGCAGTTAAATTAACCATAAATAATTAACATTTACATTTCTGATCCCCCTTCTTCTCCTCACTTCTCAATTCATGAGCTACTAAGTGCTTTGCCTGCGAAGACTGCTGGATACATCTGAAATTGAGGTTCTACAGCAGTTAGTAACAAAATTAGACTTCTGGGACAGGACACCATAGTGACAACAGGTTCCTTCAAACTGCTGGTATCTATATACAACACTACATGGTGTCATGTCCCAAAAGACTGCAATTATACTACAAAATATTTCTGTGAAACTTTTTCAGTATTTCTATCACATTACAAAGCATCTTTACGAGATCCCCTCATTTAAATATTTGGTTCTGGCAACGTGAAAAAGCCACATGTGTTTAAGACTAGTGAACAAAAAGATTCCAAAGATGGTGTTTGATTTCTGACTACACACTGCTTTCTTGAAAGTGCTGTTCAACATTCCTCATCATGCGATTTTGTCAGATCTTCAGTCATAAGGCATCCCAAAACTTATCACCTGACTGACTTTTTGTTATGGAGGAATAAATCTGTTATGTCTATAAAACGCTGACTTTTTCATGGGGGACTTCAGAATCTTGTTTCCAAGTCTTACTAAAGAGGAACCCATTATAATTACATATATACATAATTATACATATTTTTAGAATCCTCACTGAAACATCATTTTGATTCTCCATTCTAAATATTTATCTCCTAGTGTCATGTGAGATTCAAAAATAGTTTTTAAACCCTTCCACTTCAGACTATTTGCCCAACCATTAGAATGCAGCAGTGCCCAAACTTCATACAATTATCTTACTGACACTACATTCTCTCAAGCTATTTCCATTTTGTTTTCATCTAAATCACTGTAAGGGCCACTTAACTTATAAGTGAACATTTGCATGTATCTCACGAGAGTTTTGGCAGACTTCGTTAAAAAACCATATAAAGCATTCATCTTACATAAGAACATTATCACTTTTCTAAGTTTTGTTCATTTCAGCTTTTTTTCAAACATCACTGGTACTCATGTACTTAACTAAATTTTTACATCCATGTTTCAAACTCCAAAGAAGATCTTGACAAAAACTGACACATGTCACAAGTATTATCGTCAAGTTCTCCGCAACTGCACTGATTTTTCTCTTCATAATCATATCCTGAATTCTGCAGTCCTATTGGGGCTCAAATACAATACCACAGGCCCTTCCTTTCCCTGGGTTAAAGTGACCGAGGCGTGAAGCTGAGCACTTACCGCCACCTAGCGTCCAGGCTAAAATGTGTGGAACTACACCTGCACTCCCCCATACGCCTTCATGGCAGAGACATTTCTACGTTTCATTAACATATGTACATCTCAATCACTTTAAAAAACCATCGCATAAAATCTGCTGTGGGCAGACGTCAAAGGCAATCGCAAGCCACTTTTTCAGCACCAGCCCAACAACCTACTTGACCAATTTTCTTTCGCAGCAACAGAGAAAACCCTTGCTATCACCACAAACACAAATAAACTTAAGTACTATTAAAGCGCGAGATAGGATCACATCAGACGTTCCAACATGCCCCGTCTCCCACGTGCTGCCACCTGTCGGACAAATTATCGGGCTGGTGCCCATGGTCAATGGAGGTGATGGAGGTGATAGGCATGAAGAGGGATTGAGAACGGGAGTCACAGACGGTCGCAAATCCGTCCCATAAAATTAGATATTGTCATAATATCACCTTATACAATCTCAAACAGTTCCGTAGGCTCTGAGATCTATAGGCATATTCGTTATCAATATTTCCATGAACATGAAGACAAACTTCTAAGCTTTCAAGAACAGAGACAACATCAGTATGAAATCGTCCTTCACTTAACATGTAGCAGCTGTCTCACATCCAGGTTTCATAATCAGGCTTACATAACTGTTGCTGATAACACACCTGTGGGTCTAAGATCTAGACCAGGGGTCTCTAAACTTTCCGAACCGCGGGCCACATTAGGTAATTCAGCACTTTCAACGGGCCGGATAAAATGAGAAATTAATAACTCTAGGTATATGAGTTTTATTGAAAGCACAGAATTTCATAAACTAAATACAAAGTACGTGAGAATAAATTATCGTATATTAATGACAACAGACAGTAGCAGCAAATGCTCATATTTTCATCACAAATTATAATAAAACAATTAATGTGAATGATGGAACTCTTTTTGCATTCTTAAAATCTGATTAAATTGAGGTTCAAATTTTGAAACGCTAATCACAAGTAGCGACTTTAAATGTTCATCGGATAAATTTGCCCTGTATTTCGACTTGATGTACTTCATCTGGGAAAAAGTATGTTCACACAGATATGTCGTCCCAAAAATGGAGATATATTTAGAAGCAAATTTCTTTAAATTTGGAAATTGCTCAGAGTTCAGAAATTTATAAAATTCGATCAAATTTCCTTCCTTGTATTTGTCTTTAATATGATAATTTTCCTGAAGTTCAATAATTTCCATTTGAATTTGACTTGGGACATCTGCAGCATCACAGTCAAACGGATTTTGAAACAATCTAATTTCCTGAGCACTGGCATCCAAATCAGCAAATCGCTTCCGAAATTGTTCTTTCAAATCTGAAATGACTAAATTTGCAAACGAGGAAGGAAATTCTGCTTCACCCTTTTTATGCAACTCTGCACAGTATAGCATATGAACAAAGTTACAATTTTTCACTTGGCTTTCCAGAAGTATCAACTTTGCTCTGAATGCCTTGATAAGTGCAAATAAATCACAGACTAAGTTATTTTCACCCTGCAACTTTAAATTCAAATGGTTCATATGGTTCACCAGATCAGGAAAAAATTCTAATTTCCAAAGCCACTCGGTATCTGATAAAAGTGGTTCGTAATGGTTTTTCTCGGTAAGAAATATATCAGTTTCATTCCTGAGCTGAAAGAAGCGTGAAAGAACCTTTCCACAGCTAAGCCATCGAACTGCAGTATGTCAGGTCAATAAGCTCGGAATCACATTTACCAGTACTCACTGGAAAATTAGTTCAATTGGCGCATTTCTGCACAATTCTTTCGCGGGTCGGATAAAATCACATCGCGGGCCGCATGTGGCCCGCGGGCTGTAGTTTGATACCCTTGATCTAGACTATGAAACTTTGCTTCGATCTTCAACTGACATTAAGGATTCAGAGTAGACCTGCCACTGCCAATTAATTCGATTGTCACGGATCTTGTAACAGCGTTATTCTAAAATTTAAGTGATTTCGTTTATTTTAATGTAAGTAATGTATTAAGAAATATTTCTTTCAGAGTAGCTCATGGAGGCCTAAAATTACGTCAGAATCCAACAGAAAATTGTAAGAAAACACGACGTCTACATAACTTCATATGATTCAGTCTACAAACCTGAGGCTAAGATTTCTTAAGAAGCTAATAGTTACTCAGTTTATACCCACCGCGGCGGCCCGTGTTCGATCGCGGGTCTGGTCAAGTGGGATTTGTGGTGGACAAAGTGGCGCTGGGCAGGTTGTCTCCGAGTACTTCGGTTTCTCCTGCCAATCTTCATTCACCAATTTCTCCACAATCACCCTCACCTATCATCTGGGGCTGGTACAATAGGTCAGAAGTGGCCGCAGTACAAGGGACTTAGGCCCACCCCACTAGCAATAAAAAAAAATACTCAGTTTAAAAGTATCTCGCCTTCTACGAAACTGGAAGAAATGTCTCGCCTTACATGAAACCAGAATCATCACTGTGTTCTCAAAAGCCCTTCACTAACAAATGCCTCATTATCAACGACTAAGAAACAAATTTTCGACTTTATTGAATTTAACGTTCTTTCCCCTGTGTTCTTATGTTAACAAATAATATCACTTTTAAAGGAAAAAGATAAAGGAAAAGACCGAAATGTGTATGTACTCATAAACTCGTAGGGGTTCGAGCCCATGATTTCTGTCCGGATTTTCCTTAAAAAAAAATAAGATACTGAAATAATGCGTAATTTCTTACTTCAGAGTTTAGTCTCGTGGTGTGTTAAGTTTATTCCAACGCTTCGCTGTACATTGCAGTGGCCATCTTCAAGGCCTATTCAAATAATTATATTAATTATGTATTATGGCAATATTATTACTGTAATTATATTCCTGTCGACGAAAAGCAAGATACCAGAAGTACCCATCCTTCGTTCAGGGATGTGATAAGAGACAAGACCTACATTTCCTATTGTCTAACTCCATGGCATCTCATATTGTCTAAAACAACGATAAGACATGCCTTGAGTAGACAATCCTACGGAAGAAAAATCTTACAAGCCTGTCAGTAATAGTTTCCACCATACGCTGAAAATAGAATCTAGTAAGTTTGTAGTGATTACATAAAGATCTACGTCGTTATCGGATGATGACTTAACATAAAATATATTTTTGACAAAGCTCAGTGATAACTTATGCTTCAAACAGCTATCATACAGTGAAGCAGTAGCAGGCATACCGGTTGTGATGGTCTAGTAACGAGGCTATGATTCTATAAAAACTTGTTCTTGCCATAAAAGACCTACATCCAAATAAGGTCCATAAAAAATAAAAGTAATTATTTAATTATAGAGAAACAGCCGAAGAGATGGGATAGTAATATTCCATCACCGAGAGTTGATTCAGTTTCAAGCGCAATACTCTCCATTATTTCACACATTATCCTGCATTATCAATATGAAAACCACCGCTGACAAGACAACGCATTGTCAAGGAGAGGCGGAAACAAACCATCGATTCTTAAATGTTAAATGTGTAGCTAAAATCTCCTAGGGAGATCAGCAATGTCAATGTTGAGTTAAAAACCAATGGAGATATTGGGTTTTCGGTCTTTATCCATCGTCCTGGTTTTTAAGATAACTAAGAAAAACACGACGTTTCCGAAACTGGATCTGTCTTAAAAACCAGGACGATGGATAAAGTCCGAAAACCCAATATCTCTGTGTGTTATACACCATCGTCAGAATCCTATAGTAACTACTTAAAAAACAATGTTTCAGAAATCTCCTGATGATGGAAACCGAGGAGATCCCTGAAACATTGGTTTTTAACTCAGTACTGACATGGCTAATCGCCCGATTATATTTTAGCATCAGATACGAATATAACCATGGACTGTGGATGGATAATAATTTATAGGACTTTGAGGTTCTCTAAGTCCAAGGAACTGAACCATTCTTGAGAAGCCGCCACCTGCAGCGCCACTCAAAAATTTATCAGCATTTTATGGAACCCGAAGGTTCATTAGCTTGTTCGCAAGAACCCTCCACTGATCCCTATCGAGAGCCAGATAAATCCAGTCCACAGCATCCCACCCTATCTCTCTAAGATCCATCTTAATATTATCCTCCCACCTACATTTAGGCCTTCCTATTTGCCTCTTTCCTTCCGACTTCCCCACCAAAATCCTATATGCATTCCTCTTCACCCCATGCGTGCTATCTATCCTGTCCATCTCATCCTTTCTGACTTGGTCATTCTAATTTTACTTGGCGAAGAGTACAATTTATGAAGCTCCTCATTATGCAGTTTATTTTGAGGCTGTCAGAAGATGAATCTCTTCTAATAATGGCCTGGACGGAGGAGGTCGTGTCCCTGTTTGAGATTCCATTTCAGTGGAAATACAGTCTTTTCTGGAAACAAAAATGACAGAAGATGGACGGCATTCGCTCAAGCCAACGACCTGCCAGAGAATTCTTCCTACTGACAAAAGCCACTGTCTTGTCCGATAAACCGACAGTCATATAACTACCCTGAAACTTGTCAGTCAGCAAGTTGACTCAAGCGGTTTCGTTTGTAACTTGTGCTGGATAGGTGCCCAGTTCGAATCTTGGAGTGCACACCGAGTATCTTGATCGAAGTTTTTAAGTGCTTCTCTTAGTATCTCCAGGCAAATACCAGGATAGAACCTCAAATTAGTTCATGACCGCCTCTTTTCATATCCTTTTCAATTCATTATCTTCTAGTCATTATGTCATTTGACGCAATATAGTTTGAGCACCTGACATTGTCGTTAAGTAAGTCATAAACAATCAGATAAACGTTTCGGCAGATAAATCTGAAAACCATAGGTCTAAGCTTAGAACAATCATCCGGTACAACTTCGCTCTGTACGAAGTAAAATTTCATATTATTACAGAAACTTGCGATGTCATTGTAAAATTTGAAGGTTTCACGGCGGTGACTATGAAGAGTGCCATCTTCTTGGCTGTGGCGCCGTGTAGATCTTGTGTGAACCGACGTTTTGGAGGAACGTATCGCCTCACGCTGGTTCCTCGCTCGCGGATTTTTCTATCCTGAAGATTGAGGCGATACGTTCCTCCGAAACGTCGGTTCACACAAGATCTACACGGCTCCACATCCCAGTAGACGGCATTCGTCATTGCGTTGTTCTTGCCTGCCTTCTTCTGTTCTTGATGGGAAAGGAACAGACATACACTCAAACAAGAGTAAAAGAGCAACTAGAAGCATTCTGCGGTGCAAAAGATTTCCATATATA